TTTAATTTTTTCTACTAAAATTAGATTTGTTTATTTATACTGACGAATTCGAAGCCTAAGGCTGCTAGTCAAAGTCAGTCGATGTTTATTTTTGTTTGTTTTTTTTTGTGTATTTTTTTCATCAAGTTAAAGTACGTGTCAAATCTTTATCAGTATTGTGACATATACGCATTTCAATTGTCTTGAATCAAAATACAGATATATTCCTTAACAATTTAGAATATGATTTCGACAGCTTTGCTTCGTGGTGGTAACTGAAACAGCTACTTTTGTGATATAGAACCAAATTCGACTTCAACCAGCAATCCGACTGTCTCACCGTCCAAATTCCGGGTTTTATATAAAAAACTATTAATATTACATTAAATTTTGCCTTATCTTATCATTTTTCATGACTTCACCAAATGTCATGTTTTAAACAAGTATGACGTGCTTACTAACAGACATACATCGATTTACTCTACTTTAAGCCAGTGACAATAGCCTATTTTGAACATTAGGTGCTATTTCCAAACCAAAAAAAGATTCCCTTTTAACGGCACCGGTTTCAAAGCGATCTCTCCTTCCCGCCAAATGAATCCAACCAAAATATTCCTGCCTTTGAATGCTTCCCTTCGAGGGTTTAGTCAGAGGCCGAAGACGCTCTGGAGAGCAGTATGTTCGTACACACTAATTTACATCCCGTCTTCTGGGATCGGAAACCTCCGCCTCACGCGACCTGTACGTCTTCCTGCGTCATGTCGTCAGTCCGTCAGCGAGCGTCAGCGCCTGGAGGCAGGGCCGAGACGTCAGCACGGCCTCGCGATATATTTACATGGTCACACCATTCTTGCTTCAAGCTAGGGCGGCCCGGCCCGGTGGAGGGGGGCCGGCGCGCCGCTGCTTAACGACCGGTTACACCAGACAGTCACCTGGCAGGCCTTTCTGCCGTCCAACGCTTCGTCCAACGCCTTCGGAGTACACTGAGTGGCAGCGCTGGCCAGGGAGAGCGTCTCATCTGTACGACAGTGTACGTGCGGGATGCCACCTGTCGAGGGCGACTGTTCTCGCCCTCCGTGCAGTGACGTCACCTTGACCGCCCATATCCACGCTGCTTAGGATAAATGAGTACTCCTCCATGCAGTGAGCAGACACACGGCAGTCTACACTGACTGCATATACTGACGGTAACATTGAACACACATATGTTGTAGTCACCCTCAACATTGGGCACATAAATATTAAAATAAATCTGGAAAAAAACATGATGCAAGCCTTCGGAACTTAAAAATGTGAGGTAGATCAGATATAGTACTATTGTTTGTACTGAAAAATGACTATTGTATACTTGTTAAAATGTGAGCTGTAGCTTGGCGTCTGTAGCGCGCCGGACTCGAGGCGACCCGATCACAGCGCCGCCGCCCCACGCTCGCCTCCCACAGCCACTGCAAAGCCAGCGTCAGACTCACAGAACAACAATTATATTACAGACTGGCCTTTGACAGCGCAGAGGGAGCGAGTGGTGAGGCGGGGGGAGGGTGACAAGCAAGGTCAAGAAGAGAATTGGTGAGGGAGACTGTGATCGGGTCACCGGGCCATGCCCGTTACAGGTCAAGTATTATGTTAACATACCACGTTTCAGGTCAGAGCACGGGGAGCGCATAGTACATACATCGTTTGGCTAAATATGAGGAACATGTGGAAATTAATGTTATATATAATATATATTATGTGATAACACTAGCTTGAGGACCACACACACCCTGGCTGCGCCACAACGGGCTGGCTGTATCACAATGTATTTGAAGGTTAATAGACTCTCTACGTTGTACTCGCTACTGATGTTAGGAACGGGATGCTTACTGACCGACAGAGGTAGAGTGGGACTCGAGGTAGATCTCAAGGAGGCGGGAGGAGTAGAGGGAACTGGAGGGGAGGTAAAAGAAGAAAGAAGACTGCAAGTTTCTCCGCCATTGTTGAAGAAAATGGGATAGGATGCGAAGTATATAAATAATGTAAGCGGGAGTTGGGGGGTAGTTGGGGTGACGTAATAAAGGTGATGACGTAATAAAGATGACGTAACAAAGGCGGAGAAGAGAGGAAAGCTTAAAAAAAAATCTGGTCCGAAATTTTTTCTTCGAGGTAACAAAACATGGCTGTTAACCTCAATTTTTTTTAAAAATTAATCCTTTCCTCTGTTTTTCTTCTTTAAGAAATGAAACTAGAAAAAAGTGGAGAAGAAAGAGAATGGGGAATAAAAGATAGGAGACAAAGAAAAACGAAAAGAAAGAAAAGAAAAACTTCAGCCGAGAAATTCGTGTGGTCCTCTTGACTAAGGGTCCTTTGCAGTAGTAATTAATGTTATGTAAAAGTCACGTCTAGAACTAAGTTTATACATCAACTTATAATTGAACACACACATATTGCAACAAACTTACACAAAAATAAGAAACATTCACAAAAAAGGTTCACGTTTGTATCTGCAATCCTGAGGTAAGTAATAACAACGGTACGACAGTTATATAACGATATATATATATATTCCTATCTATATATATATACTGAAGGAGCGTATTGGAAATCTAACTAATTGGCGAAGCAACGACGATCATCCAGAGGGAGGAGAACCGGGAGGTGATGCAAATGATGATAATAGTGATAAGGATAAATTGCAATAACTATAGAGGTGATGTTGATAATGATGATAATGATAATAAAAAGATAATTATAGTACTGAAAATAATGATAATAGAAACAATAATGATAATAGTAATAATGACAAGAGTAAAAAAAATCAAAATGATAATAATAATAACAAATTACAAAATAAAACCAACTGCAAAAAAGAAAAAAAAACTCATAAAAAAAACAAAAAAACACTCGATCCTTTAAAAAAATAATAATAAGCTTAAATGAATTTGACAAAATAAAGAAATATTCAAATAAATAAATAAAATAAAAGCCAGATCAAAATTATGAAGGGCCGTCGACCTCCCTCTCCTCTCCTCTCCCTCTCCCCCTCTGGATGCCGCCTCTCGAGAACCTCCGCCTGAAGAAGAGTCGAACCGGCGTCTTCGGCTTGACCCCCCCCTGAGACTTTCCTTTTGAGTCGGACTTGACTTTGCTTCGAGACTCTGCAGATGGAGTTCGGTCATTTTGATTCCTTAGGTGGGCGTTTGATGTATTTCGAAATTTTGAAATACGTTTTAGTTTTTTTTTATTGCGGATTTTGTATTGATTTATCTATTTATTCCTAGAGTTCTACTTCTATTTCTCTTCTTCCTTTTCTAATTCTATCTTTCTACTACTACTACTACTATTTTGGGGGAAATTGAATCTTTTAGAATAAATTTGTTTGTTTCTAATATTCTCGTTCTTCGGACGATGAAATCAACATAAAAATGGCATCAAAATGAACGAACTGCATTTTTTTACCCTTTCATTCTTTTTTCAATTCGCGTCGTCTCCATGGTAACAGCCTCACCCTACCCCCTACCCTCCCCTTCCCTTCCCCTACCCTCACCCCCTCTCCATCACACCCACACCCGTACATACACTCAGCAGAAGGAGGTGAGGGTGAGTGGAAGGAGAGGGGGGGAGGAGGGCTGAGGAGGGGGAAAGGGGGGGGGGAAGAGGGGAAAAGAGGGGGGGGAAACAGAGCCTATACATTTCCGAAATCCTGGTGGAGGGGGGAGGGGGTCCTTCCGCCGGGCACGAAGGCCTCCCGAGCTCGTTGGAATGTGATTGCAAGAGAAAATGAAAACAGACAGACAAACACTGCAGAATGAGCTGTATTTATACGAGGCAGTGAGATTGCTAAAGGGAAAAAAATCGATTGAAATGTTATATTTAGGTAGACTCTTGAGTTGGGGGCGGTGGGGGGGGTAATGATGATATAGATAACGATGATGTTAATAATAATGGTGATGATTATGGAGGTAATGGTAATAACATAATAATGATGATAAGGAGAAGATAACTAAGAAAATCAAATAAAACTGACGCACCTTATTTGGTCATGAACATTGTCCGTCCTGAGATTGTATTGCTGAATGAAAAGAAAAAAAAATCAAAAGAAGAATAGGATGCGAAGGAGGAGGAGACAAAGAAGAAGAAGGAAGATGAAAAGAAAAAGAAGAATAGGATGCGAAGGAGGAGGAGAAAAAAGGGAGAAGGAGAAGAAGGAAAGGAGGAAAAGGAAAAAGAAGAAGAGGAGAAAAGAAGAAGAGGAGGAGGAGGAAAAGAAGAAGAGGAGGAGGAGAGGAGGAAAACCTCTATTAAGAAATCAGGAATAAAAGACAATAAAAAAAGAAATGCGTGTTTATGTGCGTTGTGAAGTGAAGGACATATTGACTTGTCAACGATATATATATCTTTTCCAAAATCGAAAAAAAATCTAGGGGTGAGCGGGGGGGAGGGAGGGGCGAGAGGGGCGGGGTTTTTGAGGGGGGGAGGGGGTAAAAACGTATGTAGAGCACCCTTATCACCGAAATCGTTGGATGGGTCCGTCACATGCATCCTCTCCTTTGAGCAACGTCAAACTACTACACGAAGAAAAATAGATATATTTATATATATTTCATGTATATCAACTAGGAATTGCAATGCTGAATCTGTTTCTTCTCGAAAGAAAAAAAAAGAAGAAGAAAATGTTTCGTTAAATCTCTGTTTTTTTCTTTCTATATTATTATTATTATTATTATTATTTTTATTCGTTCTAAAAGACATCGAAATCTCTTTGTTTGCATTCCTTGTTTCTTTTCTTTTATTGAACTACGTCATTTTTACTCGATTTTACGAACTACGTTGAAAGAAGGAGCAAAGGGGGGAGGGGGAGGGGAGAAGGGGGGTATGGGTACACGTCTTTGTTTCCTGAGCTCGTTATAGTTTTTTTCTTTTATTATTATTTCTTCTATTTTCTTCTCTACAAATCCCTGAAGAAACTTGATACGCTGACAGTGAGGCGAAACGAAACACCGTATGGATGTCCGTTTCTTAAATTCTTCGATTGTTTCCCAACTCTTTCTTTTTTTTCTTTTTCTTTTTTTATTTCTAGATTGCTTTGGCTTCAAAAGGACGACTGCGGGGCATCTAACTCGGCAACACTAAATAAATATCCCGCAGCTTTTACACTCTAAGTACTGATTTATCCGTAAGCATTGAAGTCATACATTATTTAGGCCTAGTTGACTAAGGAACATGTCAGCAATTCCAGATTTCGAGTCTAGAAAATATAGTTTCTGTGGTTTTGTACGTTTGACCTGGAAGATACTCCAACAGAGTCATGGGGTTCTAAAATCTGCTATATCTTGAGGGTGTAGGAAGTGTCCTCCAAGACGAGGGAACTTCGTGTGAGCTAGCAAAGGTGCAATAACAACTAGAAGGATACAAAACATGAGGTAGATAAGACCGGGTGCTTGACCCAACGTGGATACCTGAGTAACTTGTTCTTATAATTGATGCAGGGTTTTCTCTTTTCTCTTTTTTTAGACATATATATATATAGTATTTCGTCCCCTGCAATACCAAGGGCAGGGAGGTGAGCCCATGAACACACATTCAAAACAACATTGCTATACGAAAACTAAAAAAAGGAAAAAAAAATGCTGAACTTGCCTTGCCTTCGCAGAGGAAGTTGAACGGCGCATTTGCAAAAGAGGAACATTGATAACCGGGCCCCTCCCTGCCCTCTTGGCTTCCCTGACACTTCAGGGCTGAGGTCCTTGTGAGGGACCCCTGCTTCCCCGGCTCTGACCGCCCGTGCTTTGTTGGAGGGATAATGATGGCAGCTATAAAAATAATACTGTACATCTACAAACATCTTGTGCATGCTTGCTTTGTTGAGCATAAGGCACCCACACCAGAAATCATTCACTAGATTATGAACAGAAGAAACATACCTTCCCTTTCTTGGGTTCGTGATTAATCTTCTATAAAATATAACCATTTCAAATAAAACCTACAGTTAACAAGGTCCATAATACGACTCCACGCTTACACTATGGTATTGGGGTTATGATATTAGCACACTTGAAGCTACGAGAACACCGGCCATGGACCATACATAACACAGTTTAGCGTGCTTCACAAGCACAGCTAAAGACCCAAGCGCGAGTCCACAGTGTGACTATCACTAGCGTCGCCTACAGCATACCAACAACACTGGAGGCTGGCGAGCACCCGGGCGGTCCTTCGTCGTCGGTCTGGTGCTCGACCAGCTGTACACATGGATACCATCGGGGCCTCGGGGGCCGTCTGTACACAGAGCACCAAGTATCACCCAGACTCTTCGCCGCGTTGCGTCACTCCGACTCTCGCCGCGGGCTCCCCCGAGCCCGCCCCTCCTGCCGGGGGCGGCGGGCGTCGTCTGGCCGCGGGGCGTCGGCGAGGACGGCGGAGAGCCCCTGCGTCGCCGGCGCCGTCGTGGGCAGCGGCAGCCGGGGCAGGAGTCTGACGTGATCGGGGACGGACGGCCACTACTCCGGGTAGGGAGGGTAGAGGGCGCGGCGCAGCTGGGCCGGAAGCGCCTCCGGGCGGGAGAAGTCCACGTTCTGGTGCTCGCGCGCGATGTGGCAGCGAACCGTGAACCAGCGGGTGAACCCGCGGTGGCAGATCGGGCACGGGATCCGCACGCCCTTGTGGAAACACCGGATGTGGGTCCGCAGGTTGTTCTGGTGGCGGTATGAGCGGGGGCAGTAAGGGCACTTCACCAACTCTGCCGGAAGGAAGAGGGAATCGTTAGGCCTACCTTTCTTCCCTTCGCGTCGCGAAAAAAGTGAAGAAGCAAATGCATATGCAAACAAAATCCAGAAGAGAAAGGCAAAACTCAACTGTACGAAAGTGAAAGCAAACTCTACATAAAACCAAATAAAAGGCAGAAAGCAATAAAGAAAACAGTAGCAACTCAACGTTGGTCTCCTCTACGTACACTACACTACACTACAAGGGACGCGCCTCGTGCTACGGGCTGGAAGAGGCGGGGGCGTCTGCCTTCCTATTGTTTGGAATGTTAAGTCTGTGCACGGTCCGCAGGTGCAAGTTTCTGCTGAAGTTGTGTTTGAAGGTGGAGCCGCAGAGGGCGCAGGTGAACACTCGCCGCCGCTGCGCGTGGTCGGTGCGGACGTGGCGGGCCAGCGAGCTCTGCACCGAGTACGACGCCCCGCACAACCCGCACACGTGCCGCCCGCGGGCGTGCTCGGACCAGTGGCTTCGTAGTTCCGCCAGGGACGCGTGGCCCCGCCCACAGGTGGAGCACACCCACCCTCCAGGGGGCGCAGGGGGTTCCTCTCCCCCCTCTAACAGGGGGGACGGCGCCCCCCCTCTTGAATCCCCCTCGCCCCACACCACACACTCTGCAAGAAACAACACCACCAGTAAGCAGCCACCCGAGGCTTTAGTGCGTCAAGATGCCGCCCACGCCCAGCGCCGCCGCCCCTGCCATGCGGGGCCGGGGGGCGGGGGCGGGGCACAGGTTAGACTGGTTCTCCGAGTACCTTGACCTGAGGCTCACAGGTCGCTCTTACTGTGGTGTTCTTTCTCGCCTTTTCATGCAACATGCAGCGCCATGCACCGGACAAGCCCAAAAGCAAGTGCTCTAAGCAGGCAGAGGAGGAGTTCAAGCAATGCTCAGATGATGCGGTCTAGTCGCTAGTGTTCTTTTTTGCAAACTTAAAATATGTGCATAAAATCACAACAAATCAGAGCTACACATTCAGAAAAAAATCTACAGATCTTTGAATAAAAGCTACAAAAGTAAATTATATCACAATACTGTACAAAATCAAAGTTTAATCATGCATTCTACTCAACACTAATTTCACTCACTACTCCTTTACTAACAATTACATTTATCTTAAAAAAAGGAAAAAATTACCAAAAAATGAAAGAACAAAAAGGAAAAATCTAAGATAATTCTAGAGAAATAAGTGCGGAGCAAAGCAGAGGCACAGAGAAAGAAACAGAACAAAACAAAACCTTTAAAAAATACTACAAAAACACTCAAGCACAGGGGGGAAGAAAGGGAGGGGAGACCAAAGCAAGGAAGAGAGAATCAAGAGGAAATAACTCTTTTTCTTCTCTCTCTCCCTCCCTTCCTCTTCTTATCCCCCCTCAAGGAAAAATGCAAGAATAAAAAAAAAAAAAAGAGAGAGAGAGAGAGAGAGAGAGAAAGGAGGGGGACATCGCAGACATCGTCCCCTCCCTTCTTCAGGCACGTCGAAGAGCCCCTCGCCGCCCACGCCTACCTGTTGACGTGTTGCCTGACGAGGACGTGGACAGGTTCCTCTGACGGGAGCCGGTGGTGGTGATTTCCGAAGCGGTGGTGTCGCGGCCCGTGGTGGTGGTCGTCGTGGTGGTGTTGGTGGTGTTGTCGTCGTCTTCGTCTACGACATCGCCTTCGGGGGTCAGGAGCTCGGTCTTGCTGATCACGGAGTCTGGAGGAGGGGGGAGGAGGTGGTGATGATGCTCAGGTGATGGTGGTGGTGATAGGCATAAGGAGGTACACAAAAGAAATATCCGCTATTCTGTGGTGTTATATAGTTAGTTAAAAGGATAAATACGTTAATTCAGATTAAATTTATATGGTAGATATGTTGAAGGAATAAAAGGAAGTCGAAGGCGAAAGGGCGCTCACCTCCCGAGGGCGAGTGGTCGTCCTTGTCCTTCGGGCTGAAGGATTTCTCGTCCTCCTGCCGCCGATCCGGGTCCTTCGTGCCGTTGTGACTGTCGTTCTGCATGTTCTTCTCCCCTTCCCTCTCCCTCTCTTTCTCCCTTTCCCTCTCCCTTTCGCGGTCTAATAATCGTTGGGTCTCCCTCTCCCTTTCCCTCTCCAGTTCTCTGTCTCTTTCTTTTTCTCTCTCGCGCTCTCTTTCTCTCTCCCGTTCTCTCTCTTTCTCCCGCTCTCTCTCCCTCTCCCGTTCTCTCTCCCTTTCTCTTTCCCGTTCCCGCTCCATGTCGAGGTCGGAGGCGCCCCGCGGAGGCCACACGGGCGGCGGGCGGTCCTTGTCGTCGTGGGCGTCGTAGTGGGACGTGGGCGCCAGTTTGTGGGCGTTTCTCTCCATCATCTTTTTGGAATCATGAAGGAGCGGCAGAGAGAAGGGCAGGCCGAAGGGGGGGACGCTGAGGAAGACGGAAGCCACTTGGGTTAGGAGCCGTTGGGGCTTAGATGCAGGTGCGTCTAAATGAAGCATAGTTATTGGAACACTTGATATTTCATCCTTAAAGCTATCTACCTGATTCATATCATCATATCCCTATAAAACCTAATCATTACATCACAGGCTAGTCCGTCCGCGAACGGCATTGCGCAGAGGATACTCACCCGAGCTGCTGCACCATCTTGGGGTCTGGCACCGGCGACTGCGGCGACGTGCGTGGCGGCAGGAGGCTGGAGCCCGCAGTGGGGTCGTACTGTGGGTGCGGGGACCGAGGTCTCACCAGGCCGCTGGGGAAGAAGGGCGGCGCCGGGAGGGGCGGGCCGGGGCTCTTGGACGTCGGGCGGGACATGAGCGAGGACGTGTAGAGGAGGGAGCGCGCCGGCGTGAGCGAGGCGGCGGTGGGCAGGGGCGGCGCCGGGGGGGACGCCGGCCGCCGCGAGTAGCCGCTGGGGACCATGCTGAAGTGGGGCAGGTCGCGCAGGTCGCGGAGGTCGGGCCGGAGGGCGTCCCTCGAGTTGGTCCCTCTGTGGTCGCGGACGTCGGGTCCTCCAGGCGGGAGGCCGGAGTCCCCGGGCGACTGCTTGGGCCTCTTGGCCGGGGGCGGCGTCGAGGCCGAGCCGCCGTTGTCCCGGAGGCGCTCCTTCCCGCCGCCGTCGTCCTCCTCCTTGCTCGCCACGTCCGCCAGCCCCTTGATCTGCGGCGACGGAGCCACGGTTACAACGACAGCAACAACGTCATCATCATCATAAATAAATACGATGATAACAATGATAATAACAGTGCATTAAACAATAGACATAACAACTATTAGATGCGACAAGGGGTACTATCCTAACTTGAAAGTTCTTCTTGGTTGATATATTAGAGATGCTACTAATGCATTTGATACTTCTATTTCTGTTAAACTTCCTATTTTGTAGCCTGACAGCTGTAACTACAACCCCGATGCAGTCAACCACTTCCAGTACATTAACTACTCTCCGCTGCTACCACAATTACAATTCCTAATTTCTTCTACTGCAATTTGTACTACTACAACAGCAATTTCTACAACTGCTACTCCTTCTTTGCCAGCTACGGCCACTTTTCCTCCCTCCATCACAAATACAACCATTTTTCCCTTTTCCACTACAACTACTCCCTCTAAAACTACAACTAATAGTTCTAAATAACTACAACCACTATTAACACGTCTCCTTTAATCACCACAACTACAACCCTTTCTACAACCCCTTTTCCTTTGTCGCCCTCGTCTTCAACCCCTCCTACAACCCCTTTCCCCAGACCCTAACCTTCAGCGCCCTCACCCTTACCTTCAGCCTCTCTCCTACAACCCTTTCCTCTTACCTTCAGCGTCTCCTACAACCCCTCCTACAACCCCTTTCCCCTCACCCTTACCTTCAGCGTCTCCTACAACCCCTCCTACAACCCCTTTCCCCTCACCCTTACCTTCAGCGTCTCGGCCGTCTTGAGCAGCGACGACAGCTGATCCTGCTCGATGTTGACCTCGCCTCGGTACATGTAGTCGACCAGCGCCCTGAGGTCAGCGTATCTCGTGCCGTCCATGATGATGACCGGCTGCTGACCCTCTGGCGACGCCTGCAGGATGCGCTCGAAGTGGGCCGAGGATGCCAGGAGCACCAGTTTGTGGACCCTGAGGACCTGGCCTGAGGGAGCGAGGGAGGGAGGGGTTATTCGGGGCGGTCTCCTGGGGGGGTTGGGGGGTT